AATTCGCAATTAATATGAACTCATATACAATTTTTACAATTTTTACTAACATATTAGTTATTTAAAATTTTATATAATTTTATATTTATCTAAAAATATCTAAAATTTTAAATAAGTAATTATTTTCACTTCAATAAATGAGCATAACAAACAAAAATTAAAGCTTCAATAATAATTTTTGTTATTTGAAGCTTCAATAATAATTTTTGGTTCCGGTAAAATTCCATGAAAACCTAACAAAAATTAAAGCTTCAATAATAATAATACACAACACAATTTAGAAACTGTTGTGCTAACATGTCTCCTAAAATTCTTGGAAGTAGTTGAAGGAAAAAACTAACAAGACAACCATGAAAACCTTACAACTGAACATGACATGTACAAGGTTTATAAGCTTCATTCTACTTCATATTTTCCTCTTCGCCTTTACAAATGCACAATTACCATATACAAAATTTAGTTATTGCCATAATTCAACAGAAAAAACAAACAACACAGCATACCAATCCAACATTAACAAAGTTATTTCATGGATAAACTCTGATTCTGCAGCAGGCACAGTATCTAACCAACCCACCATTCACAAGATATAAATAATTCTTAATACTAATATGTAATTTACTTTCACAATTTTCTTCATGTTTTGGAAGAAAAAAAATGTTGTAATTTGTAAACACATTCTTTAAAATCATAAATTCATTGTGGCATTTCAACAAACACCTTGTATACAAAACTCAAGCCAATATCAAAAGAGTAGTTCTCATGAACGGTATCAACAAAAACAAGTCAATAACTCAGAAAAGAAGTAACACTAACATCATATAATCCAGAAAAATGAAATACTAAGACAATAATCCAGAAAAATGAAAAATGAAAAACTTCAATTACCGTAACAATAGCGGAAATGCGCTACAGAGGCTGTCGAAAACGGACAGTCAAATGAAGGAGATATGCAACACAGGATGAACGGAGGTGAGCGACGGAGGAACGACAGTTGGACGGAGGAGGGCGACGGACGATCGTGGTGAATAGGGTTCTGGTTCGCAGAGAAGAGAAAGAAGAATGAAGAACGCGCGAGTTAGCAATGTGTTTAGTTTCATTAAAAAATTCTGTTATATTTTAATTTAATTATAATAACACCTATGGCAGCGCTTTTTATTACCTACAGCAGCGCTTTTCAAAGCGCTTTCTTTACAATACCATTTAGCAGCGCTTTACAAGGCAAGCGCTTTCTTTAAAATTCTGTAATATTTTATTTTAATAATAATAATAACACCTATGGTAGCGCCTTTTAATACCTACAGCAGCGCTTCAAAAGCGCTGTCTTAGCCCATAGATATAGCAGCGCTTTACATGGAAAGCGCTTTCTTTGACACACACCTACAGCAGCGCTTTAGAAAAGCGCTTTCTTTGGCACACCCTACAGCAGCGCTTTAGAAAAGCGCTGTCTTAGCCCATGCCTTTAGCAACCCTTTAACATCGTTTTTCCTAAAAGCGCTGTCGTAGGTATGCTGTTTTTTTTCTTTTTTTTTATTACACTGTAGCAGCGCTTATCAAAAAGCATTGTCTTTGGTAGGCAATTTTTTTCTTTTTTTTTAATGACTCTTTAGCAACGCTTTTTTAAAAAGCGTTGTCTTTGTATGCGCTGCTAAAAGTCAATTCTGTTGTAGTGTCAGTTTTATCCCCCTTAATCGCCTTGTTAGTGAGGTACTGAATGTTATACACTTATTTGATATTTTCTATATTATTGGGTTACTTCTGTTTCAATGTTGCAAGTATATTTTTTGGTTGAACAAGATTCAAGGTCATGTCACTAATACATTCCTTTTATTCAGACTTGAGCCGACATACACTAGGATGACCAGCTAATTTTAAACACAAATCGTGGTTATGCGAATCACATATCACATTAAATCTCCAGTTTTTTTTGCCAACATGTAACCATGAACCTTAAACAGACACTCACATTTTCTACTACCCGTGTCATCTCTTTTAAGTTTCTGGAGAGGAGTTCGATATCTCCTGCTTCTTTCGCACAACATTGTCACAAAGGCGCATTTTATATCCGAGCCATTATCGAACCTTCCGATTACCATACCAAATCCAAGTCTAGATGCCTCCATGCAAATCTATTCAAGCATTCTATCACGATTTTCAAACTCTTACTTGTTATTACATTCGTTGCCAACATCTGCCGCCTTCACAACAACCCCTTGAACATTCATAGAAATAACGCTCAGAGAAACCAATTATTTTGGAAAAACATCGGTGTGCACCATATCTATTGGAAACAATTAAAAAAATAACAGAACATTAATTAATCTAATGTTGCAGAAGGGCTGGAAAATAAACACAGACACATTCCAGAGATGTATCTCCAAAAAAGTTCAAACTCAAACACGTTCCAGAGATACATCTCCGGACATTGCGTAAGTTTTTTCTAGAAAAAGATGATGATTAATGTGAGAAATGTAGAAGATAAACAATAATATTTACTTGAAATTCAATCTTCTTTTGCTCCCCGTGATATGTTGAACCAAAAGAATGGAGATCTAAAGTGAACAAATGGATTGAGAATGAAGGGTTTTTAGGGTGATGGTTTTTGTTGAAAATGGAGTATGACAACAATGGGGGACTGATCATGCAGCCGTAAGTTATATCAAATACCTCCAAAGATGCATCTCCGGAAATACCTGACTTTGAAATCATTCCAAAGATATATCTTCAGAATAAAAATAGACCGAATGTATGGGGTGTATCGCAGAATTGTCTTAGTTCCGTATGTAAAAGGTGCGTCCGGAGATATATCTCCAGAACCGGATGACATAATTGAAAATCCAAATGGTGCGCTAGAAATTTATAGGATGTAATAAAAAATTCTCTTAAATTTTAGAGGCTCTATACGGTAGGATTCTTTGCACATTCACAAGGTTGGCTCTGATCCAACAAAATATTGATGTTTTATTTTATATCAACAATGCCATTGTCAAAATTAGGGGTGATTAAATGACGAGTTTGGAAAGGTTATAACCAACTTTAATTATGCTTCACACTTTGATCATGTCATTTTGATAGGCATGACAACGGTGTGGGGCAAGAGCGAGTTTTAGCAGACCCAGACCCAGACTCGTCCCGCCTCCCTGATCCAGACCTGCACCCGCCCCAAACCCGGTCGGGACTAATAATTGATCCCCTCATCCCCGCCCCATTAAAGAACGAGTTTCCCCGCACCCGACCCGCTCTCACTCGCACATGTTACATTTTTTTCAATAACAATAAAAATCAATAATTTAACTAAATAATTAATTATTTTAAAAATAATCATAATGCTTGATCATTTTTATTTAATTTTTATTTTTTAAAAAATAAATGATAATTCTAATTAACAAGATAATGTAAAATTAAGAAGTGTAAATGAGTAATAGAATCATTAAAATAAAGAAAATAAATTAAATTTAATAGACGGGGGCGGATTCGTAACGGGTACTAACATCTCCTATCCCACACCCGCACCCGAAAATAAAAATCAAGTTTTGTCCTCCTTCACCCCAATTAAATCAGATTTTTCCAATTAATTTTGGGACGGGGCGGGCGGAGCTGAGTAGAACGGACTTATCTGTCATGTCTACCTTTTGATGACTCTAACTCATTCTTAAATTTAAACAAATTTGATTATTTGTGAATAAGTTAAAATCATGTTAATTTAAGACAAAATTGGATCACTCCAAAATATATTTAAAACATTACTTATTAAAAATAGAAATTTATTATTTAAAAGATTGATTATAGTATTTTTTAAAATATATTTAATTAAATAGATTTTAAAAGAAAGGTATCAAGATTTTTTCATGTTTTATTTGTAGATAAATAATAATAATAACTGTTAAAAGTTTACCCACATAATTGGAAGATCTAGAATTCGAACTCTTAAAATGGCATCTAACCTTACAAATCAACTATTGTCGGTTGATTGTAACATTTTTCTCATATATCTAATAATAACAATTTAAAATAAATCATATTCAAAAGTTTTTTAAAAAAATTAACATTTGCAAATATGACAAACAAAAAGATAAACTTAGTTTTACTAATTAAAAAAACTAATTCATAATAGTACTGTCATTATGCAACATAAATATATAATTACTCAATCATTATAATTAATTATAATGTTTGACTATACAAACCATACAACTATCACTCAGCTGTATTAGCAAAAACGCTGGCAAAAACACTAGAACAAATAAAGAAAATAAGTTTAAGAGATCTGGTGCGAAGGAGAGAAACTAATATATTTTAATTCAAAATTAAAGAAACTACATGCATGCATAATAATAAAATAGATTTATAAGGCCACCTAGCATTTATTTCCACCTTTCAAACAAATTCTGAAAATGAGAAGGGTTAAAGAATTTCATATCAAATAATATATGATCTGAACATCTGTATAATATATGATCTGTATAATATATGATCTGAACCAATCTTCACTATACAAGCCAATTTCTACGTTTCAGCAAATTCTGAACATGATAGGTGCTAAAAAATCTTACATTTGACAATATATACCTTGAACCTTGAATATGTGTATATAAGGGGAGGCAATCTTCACCTTCATTTTATAAGGTTTAATTAAATCTAACTATACATACTTAAGAGTTAATTTGAAAGTCAGATATACTTCGCATGATAATATTATGAGGAACGACATTCATCTCATCACAATAGAAGAAGAAAAAAAGGAATTTGAATAACAAAATAAATTTGAACAAACATGTGACAAGTTTATAAGAGAACGAATATTATTAAAATTTGACGTAAACAAATAAAAATTGATAACAATTATTCTATTAACTGATGCAATTGTTGAGACGCAGAATCAAATCAACGACATCTCATTTATTCACCTTCAAGAAATACAATGCAATTCAAAGAAATTTAAACTAATATAAAAAATAATAATAGTTCAAGAGCATAACTAAACACAATTTTACACCATGCTAAAGATCTATAATAGGATTCTGACTTGCTATCTCATTTGGCAACACATTTTTCTCATTTGGCAACACATTTTTCTCATTTTCAACTGCCTTTTTTTCTTTTTCAACTCTTTCTTTGGCAGTAGTGCTCAGATGCATCATTGGTGATATTGGCCTTGGAGCTCCTGTTTTTGTTTCAAATGCTCGGACACAAATGTATCCTGTATAAAATATAAGTAGACATTACATATTCTGTTCTTAGAATCAAATAGGTATTTATTCAAAACCAAATGATATATTATTTTTTTAGAATCAAATAGGTATTTATACAAAACCAAATGATATATTATTTTCTTACCTTCGTTAAAGAATTCTCTGACCTTTTCCGCTGACATGCCTGCATTGATATTTGATTTAATAATCCTATTCGTGCCAAAATAAAATAATACTAAAAACACGGTATCTCATCTGAATCATTTACCTCTTGTAATGGCCGATGTCCCAGTACCAAAATATGTTATCTGTTTCGATAGAGACCATATCAACCTTCTAGGAACATTAATCGGTTTTATCATTGATGCAAAGTCAGCAAAAACCTATACAAAAAATTGACAACAAAAACTTTTCAAGACATTATGTACTTAATGAGTCAAACCAGCATTAGTTTCGATTATTTACCTCATTAATTTGAAAGTATGTTCCGTTTAGGGGAAAATACCCCTTCATTGCAGTTCGGCATGGTATCTGTTACATAAATTATTATTCAATCTATAACTCTCTGATTTGTATAAGAAATGGAAATCAGAATGCAACCATAGTTTCATTGTTTAATAACTCACCAGAAGTGTTCCAGGAACTGTTTGACTTTTATCTTCCTCTTGCAAGTCAGATGTACTTGATTCACCCGAGCTTTCTAATTCCGCTATTTAAGAATACACAAAGTAGATATTTGTGCTTAGTACTTTTTTAAAAAATACAATTTTCTTTTAAATAATATTCAATGTATCATGTATGAATACTTTGTAGTTAAAAGTTATAATACAAGATATATTCATCAATCATATTACCAATTATGCTTAATATATGTAAACAAAATGACTAAGCTTATAAAAAGATGAAGACAGTACCTTGTAGCCATTCCATTAGAAGATAAGGGGAAGGATCGTCATGAACACGTGGAGCATGCTGTAAAAAAAAGAGAAACATGAGTCTATATATTTTATGTGTGCATAATAATAGCTTAATTTGTGATTATTTTGGTGCATACGTCTTTTAGGAGAGGGTGATCATCCGGGAGAACATAACTGAACAGAAAAGAAAAAAATATATATAAGACTTCAGATATAATGAACACAAAATTAAATATTGACTTAATTAATATAATAGCGATAATACAACTACAAATAATTTTAAAATATGAAGAGATCCGAAATATGAAAATTCAAGAAAGAGATAAACTTACACTGTGCGCTCGGTTTTTAGACGGCTAGCTTCTTTCATTTTTGGTAAAGGGGTGTTTGCAACACAAGGATGTAATGTAACTAGAGCCGTTGATGTATTCATGCCAAGGTCAAATCCCGTATTCATGCCAAGGTCAAATCCCGTTGATGTATTCATGCCAAGGTCAAACCCATCGAAAAAATTATCAAGGGGCTTTGACAAGCATGATGATCCTTGACTACTCAGGTTGAGTGTAAGCATATCTTCTATGTCTTCATCATCTTGGTTATTATAGTCATAGTAAATCTCTTCATCATGCTTTGTTTCAAAATCAACCATTGTCCTTTCAGGTTCCGGTGATGGAGGCATCTCAACTATAGGCTCACATTCTTTAATCTCATTCGGAACAAACGTCAGTGTAGGGTTGCTTAGCATATCAGAGTACGGATTGGGTGGCAAGGCAAGTCTTTTGCTGCAGCATATATATTAGCACATCTTTATACCGAAACCAATTTTAGGAGAGAAATTGAAACAATTTATATGTGGGTTAACGGTAACATTACAACTGTTATGTAAAGATATATAATTGTCTCTTAAAGCTTTTGAGGTAGGTTTATAATAGTGTATAATTTAAATTTACATTCAGGCATTGTCAAAGCTATCGATTTCCCTCCAGTAAATCAAGTCATGACATATTCTCCAAATTTAATAAATAAATGCAACACATACCTTGCAAGGGAACTTTTATAATGTTCACACCCCACTTTCATTGGACAAGCATTGCAGTTTGGGTGTTTCTTTGTGCAAAAAACCTACAAAATTTTTTAATAAGATTTCAATTTTCTTAATAGAAAGATTAAAATAAAAATGTATTATTTTGAATGATGTTAACATCTACCTTTCCAAATGTTATCAGCTGATAATGCAATTCATACCTATACAAAGCCACGTATCATATGATATGCGTAAGATATATTAATCGAATACAAAGTTCAAATTGATTAAAGAGTAAAAAGAAGGTTGATATTTACAATGTACGATGATCAAGAGTGCATAGTCTTGGCCAGAGATACTGTTGAATTTTGTTCGAATCTGGGAATCTGTTATAAAACAAAATAGTGTAGTCAATGAATTGTAATATAGTCTTTGCTAGATAAATGCATCAAATCTGAAAACCTGTTTTAAGACAAAATAGTGTAATTAATGAATTGTGATATAAGACTTACTCCTCTAAGTCATGTATTTGCATTGATTCCGGCAATGTTTGCAGTGGAACCCATCCTAATCGTACCACGATTCTTGCGACATTTACATCCACCTATTAAAATTAACAAATCTTTTTATAAGTAAAATAAATATACAAATCTAACAAAAATAACTTCATGCATTAAAACAAGAGCATGTGTCTTCGTATTTTCTTACCGGGAAAGCAATATGTTGAAGTGCTAGAAGTCTTATGCATTCCACACTTTTCAATCCCAATCCATGTATGCTCAAAAGATATTCCCTTTAACATACAAAATATACTTGGTTAGAAATACTCCTGTTGATGGACAATTTATAAATACAGCATGATGTTTAGACTTACTTTGCATCCAGTGGTGGAATATATCTTAGCCATTCTAAATCCATGTTTCCAGTGGTGGAATATAACATGTTCAGTAACTCCTACAAATATATGATAATGCACTAGTTCAATCATTGCCTTAATAATATGTCAAAAGATACTGCAAATACATCAAAGTACTAATATTTTTGTACCACTACTCTGCCCGCAATAATGAATTGTTGACCGCGAAGTGCAATAGCTTTCGCAACTTCACCAACTGTTGCGTCTTTTACTGCTTTCCAATCAACAAAATCCATGTAATCCTCGTGTCGAGGCTTATCACTGTGGCATTTTCTTAGTGTATCCCAGTATTGTCGTTTCTTTTCCAATAAGATCTCTTTTTCCTCTTGAGTTTTGGTTTTTTTTGTAGTAGGGACTTCTTTCTTACCGAAAGTTATGCTGGGAGAACCTGTGTTTCTCTCCACAGAAGTTGAATTGGATTCAGTTCCCTTGCCATCAACTTTGGGATATACATTGGCGGAATTGGATTCAGTTCCCTTGCCATCAACTTTGGGATATGCATTGGTGGAATTGTATTCAGCTCCACTGTTATCAACTTTGGGATATTCGATGGTGGACTTGTATTCAGCTCCACTGTTGTCAACTTTGAGATATTCATTGACTTTCTCAACTTCCATTTCTTCATCGTTTCCACCTTTCATCTCTATATCCAACTTAGGATCCAACACAACCATATTGTTGTCTTTTTCACAGCTAACTGATTTGACAGGGAATTGTGCAGCAAGTGACATGAATGCAGAGCTATAGAAACAATAGTTAGTATTAATATTCTCTAACACATAGAAAAATTGGATAAATAAATTTTCTATTTAACTTTACCTTGACAAATAGTCAGACACATTTTGAGTTAAAAAAACTCCAACCACAGAATCCAAAATTGAACCTTTCCACGGTAAGAATCTTCTATCACCTACAAAGTTTACAAATATATCTTTTAACAACTGATAAAGTAACTTAATACTAGACGACTAACTCATAAATTGCAATTGATTTACATATAATAATTCAATATGCTACAAAAAAATTAATTAACTTGTTTATTAAAGAGAACTCACATTGGTAAATGAGAACATATTAACACCATTTATTACAAAAAAAGATTTGAATACTCGTTATTATGTCAAACACCAATAGAAAGATAAAAGGTTGAAATGCAAAATTTTATACAGTTCTTTATTGTCTCTAGAGCCTAGAGGATTGCCTATAACTGAGAAGAAAACATACCTTGGGTGTCTTGCATCTGATCTAAGAATGTAAGAACCACATTCTTATAGACCATTCTTATATTCTCCCAACGCATCCGTTTCTGTTCATCCTTTTCATCGTGTCCTCTTTCAGCAACGAGCAAGTTCCATACTCTTAATGTCTCTTCATCAAGTAAAACATCAACTCTTGAAGATCGCCGGTTATAAATAACTAACTCCCCTGATTTGTTTTGGGCATCTAACTTATTTATCTTTTGATGATTTTTTTTCTTCGAAGTTGACAGTTTATTTAGTATGAGTCTCATTTGTCTGCTCAGTCTAGAACTTCCTTCTACACGTAAATTTTCAAAACATTTTCTCTTTTTCTTAGCAAGACTTGATCTTTTCCCCTTTGCAATAGGGGTTAAGACTTTTACCAAACGCACTCTTTGTCTTCTAAGTCTTTTCCTCTTACACATCAGTGGAAAGTTTCGTCCAACTCTTCTGCTCTCAACTAGAGATAAAGATGACAATGAATTTAACTTCTGATAACTCTGCAGTGAATTAGATTCAATGGCAGATTCATTGGTTATAGTAGAATTCTCAAGTCCACCATGATCAACAGTTGAATCATTGAAATTTTCCAAAAATGGTAGAGAGATCAATTCGCCATGATCATCAAATAATGGTCGCTGACACTTAGGAGTTTTTCTGACATAAGGTTTTCTCTGCCTAGGAGTTGAAGGTTTTGGAGTGGCGCTGCTTTGAGGATGAGATTTCTTTGTTCTCTTGGGATCTTGAGAGACCACTTTAGGCCGATATATCTTTCTTTTAGTTTGTTTTTGCTGCTCATCATTAACATCCTTTTGGCTATTCTTTTTCGTTGAAGACAATGGCGGGCATAGATCAATATTTCCACCTGTATAGTCATAGAAGGTTAAAAGAATTAATAATAAGCAAACACATTCCAAAAATTTTTTTTATAAACATTACAGTTCTTGAGACAGGGATACCATGCCTGTTTAGAAATACCTCATTTGTAATGCTCCCAAAATAATAACAAAAATACTGACACTATGATGCATAACATAAGCAATATTGTGTCTGACAACAGCTTCTATTACAATATCTTTGATAGAATAGTAAGAACAATATAGGACACAAGTAAATACTTCAACTCGATCCTTCAGTCATCAAGTGATGCAAAATAAAATCCTCAATGTAGACACAAATTTATAATGAGAATCTACTGTGCAATGAGTTTATAGTAAATAATATACTAAATCCTAAATTTTCGAGGGTACTAAATCCTAAATCTTAAATTTGAGGGTACTAAAACCTAAATTTCGATTGATCCGGTTCCAGAATTCAAATCTCTAAACATAATAAAGAGCACACGGGAACAAAATTCAAATCTCTAAACATAATAAAGAACACAAGGGAACAGGATTCAAATCTCTAAACATAATAAAGAACACAAGGGAACAGGATTCAAATCTCTAAACATAATAAAGAACATAAGGGAACAGGATTCAAATCTCTAAACATAATAAAGAACACACGGGAACACAAGGGAACACAAACACACAGGGCTCTCTAAACATAATAAAGAACACAAGGGAACACAAACACACAGGGCTCTCATATTCCTTCATATTCCTTAAACTCCCTCGTTCATATTCCTTCTTATTCCTTAAACTCCCTCGCTGTGATTAGTAACAACTCCACCTAGGTGTTAAGTAGTTAATTTGTTAATTTCGGGTTCAAATCAGAAACTAATTCACTACTAATTTGCTTAATTTTTGGTAAAACGAGGTATTAAACTAACAAAGCTCTCTTTACAAACCCTGGACCAAATGATTAAGAAATTAAAGCCAGTTCTACCCCTGAAAAAATTGAAATCAGTGGCAAAAGTGCTCTTTCGATTAACTCAAAGTTGTGAAAATTGTGAGAAAAGTTACATTGAGAAAAAACGTCAAAGACATCGTCTGCATGGTTGAAAAAGCCATCGCTGTCAATCACGTTCTGTCCCGCACTAGAACCAGAAGAAGGCACTTTATCCTCTGAATCGGATTCAGCACCACACGGAAACTGAGAGATTGCCATTGCCGTCAATGTTGTTTTGAATTAGTTTCAATTCTAGAAAACGAATTTAATGCAATCCTTGAAAGCTGCATAATCAGGAAGGATCGTAGGGCTTATGGTACGATCAATGACAGAGATACCAGTGTATCACTGTATCTATCATCAAACGCTTATAGCTTGTAATGATCTTTTCAAAACTCTGAAGTTAATTCAGATTCATGAACTCTAGAAATTCAAACGAAGAACTTATAGTTGTGAAGTGACGGCACAGTGATACAAGGGTTTAGCTTGCCACGCAGGGTTTGTTTTTGCTTTCTAAAACGGTATACTCTTTTTTAAATTTTTTTTGTTTTTTAAAACCTAAATTAAGAAAATATATATTAAAAAACCATGGACCCTCCCAAGCCCAAATCCTAATGATGTGCTAATTTATTTTGGGTTATGCATTAAATCAAATATTATATATTTAAACTAGAAAAAAATAAATTAGAAGAGGGTCAAATATTGTAATAATAATTAATAATAAAAATACTATAAAAAACATTTTTATTCCAATATAATAATAATAATAATAATAATAATAATAATAATAATAATAATAATAATAATAATAAATTCACATTATAAATAAATAATAAATAAATAAAAACATATATTACTAACCTGTGGGAGTTGGTAGTAGTGTCTTACTTGATTCTCCGATTGTAGCTCCAAATGAAACTAAAAATAAAAAGTTTAGGGTGAGCTGCCAATATAGATGTGATAGAAAGACACGTGGTCAAACAAACAAAAATAAAACAAAATTTAAATCCTAATTATTTTAGAACTTCAATGCTAGTGTATAATTTTTTTACACATGTATTTAATTCAATATTTTGAAACTTGTATTAAAGATTAAATTGGCGAACTATGGTTTAATCGATTGAATCAAATATCTAAAATAAATAAAAAATAAAAAAATAGTCAAATCATGTAAAATATATTCATAAAAGTAAAACATGTGGAAATAGAATTTAGCATTCATTTACCATGATTAGTTTTAATCAATTTTTCTAGAGAAACATTGACACCAGCATTTGTTGTGTTTTGTTGCACTGTGATAGGAACATTTGAAGGAATATATGGAACCCAAAGTTTTTGTTTAGCATCATAGTATTCCATAGACTTCTTTTAGATGCGCTCGTGGATATGATAACTAACAGTGATTTTAAGATTATTTTCAATGTCCAACCACCACTATAATTTATGTATATATAGAAAAATAATAAACGGAAAATTAAGTGAATATGGATTTAAAATAAGAATATTATCGTTGAAAACGAGAACGAGAATGTTACACTTAAAAAATTAAGTGAACATAGATTGAGAATGAGAATGTTACCGTTAAAACGAATATTTTTTCTTATAATGTATTGTTAAGTTTTTTTATTCAATATTTCGATTGGTAAGAAATAAATTTTTATTTTAGTTTTCTCATTTTCTAAATGATATTTTACTATTATAATAAATTGCTTATGTTTTAATAGAATAAATTGCTTTTTAATATTTCAATTTTTTTTATTTATAACAAGTTAATTATTATGACTTTTTATACATTTTGTTTTAAAGAGTGATAAGTTTTTATTATAAAGAGAAAAGTAAAAATGTTGTAAATTTGTTTATAAATGATAATAGTTTGTAAAAACAAATATACGTACTACCAATCTAAAATTGTGTTGAATCATATGTAATTATATAGTTTTTTTATCAAATAATTTAGTGGTTGAAATTCATTCTTTAAAGATAAATAAGTAAGATGTCGTAGGATTGAACTCGTGTGATTATATATATAAATATTTAACCATGACATTTTTTATATTTGATTATTTTAAAATAATTCTCAATTATAATTTAATTTGGATAAATTCTTTAGTATATTTAACTTTAATGTGATATTGATTTGTAAGTAAAATTCATTTAAAATTATAAATTATTTTAACTTAAATCAATATGAAATATACATAACTTTAAATAACGGATATATACTCAATCAAATTTTATTTATATGACATGGATTTTACTTACTTAGTTAATAATGAGAAAATAAAATATAAGCAAAGATGATATGTGAAATTTTAATGTATCAAATTAAAAATTAAGACGAAATTCATCAATTTTTCAAATAACTTTTTATTTATATTTCATTCGGTAGTAGATATAATATATACATCACTTATAACTTTTAAAATTTACATTATTATATTTTGGCTAATGAATATAAAATTAAAAAACAAAAATAAAAATATAATTAAGTATTAAAATTATACAAAATTTCACACATTCATGTTTTCTTTAAAATAAAATAAATAATAATAATAATAATTTTAAAAATATAGAAAAAAACACATAAAAAATCAACAAATATCTTTCTATTTAATCTTGTGATTTGAGTTTATCGTAGGTTCACTTTATTTACTAAAAGTGTATATAAATTTTGGATAAGCAAGCACATATGTTATATTATTTGCAAGACGTGTCTTGAACGTGTCAAATATTATTATAGAAATAATACGTTCGAATCTTATTTTGACGAAAAAGTTTATTATTTTGAGTTTGATTTGAATAGTTAGTATACATTGTATAGAAATTAAAAAAAAAAAAAAGTCGTTTTAGACTTTTTACAGATACCAATGAAGTTATTAACTTTTGCTAATTTTGTAAATATATTATAGGATATTCCAATATTATCCTTTTTAAAAACACTCAAAATCTCTTGTTTCAAAATATATCAGATTAATCATTATAATTTGTCGATGGAATATCTAGATTGCATTTATTCAAATATATTTCATAAATAAAACATTAAATTAATTAAATTTATACGTGTCTTTTTCTATCCTACACTAATTCCTTATTTTTCTCCCTCCCAAATTTTCCATCACTCACCAAAAGATACGCTAAAGCACTCTGGTAGAAAAAATTAAGATTTTTTTTTGTTAAATTTTTCCCTCCAAATTCGTATGGCTCTTCATTAATTTTTTTTCAAATTTCCCTCTAAATATTCCATTGCCAATTTTTTTAAGGATTTTTTTTGTTATGATAGGAAGAAGGATTAAAAAATGCACAATATATAAAACTTGAGAATTCACATTGAGGAGAGATATTTCTGAGTTTTAATTGGGAGTTAATATATTCTTAAGAGAGAGGAATTTTGAAAAAATCACAAATTAATATAGAGTTTTATGAGATGAAGACTTTTTCTATAAAAAGTTGGACCAATGCATTGAAAAACAATATTCATAATGTCACTCTGCATTGGAATACAAGATTCACTGAATTATGAAAATTATAGAAAAAAGAGATGAATTAGGGGTATTTTAGGAAGAAAAAAATTAATTCTACATAGAAATTACAAAACGACTTATATTTTGACACAATTTTTTTTTTCCAAAACGACATATAATTAAAAACGGAGGGAGTATGTATTAGTGTTGAACATCGGTCGGTTTGGATTAGATTCGGGTTTAATATGTCAAATCGGTCAAAACTATGAGTAGATTTGATAGGCTCAATTTCGACTGAACTTTTAATCGGTTTGATCGGATCGGTTTAATCGATTGATCGGTTAAAATAGATCGATTTGTTCGGTTAACCAATCTTTAATTTTTTCATACAAAATTTTAGCTACATCATAATTTTTAAATAAAACTATTAAATAAAAACTTTGAACCTTCAAATATAACAAAGAGCTCAATTCAACACTTCTACATCCAAAAATATATATTCAAATTTAAAGCTTAAGATATTTTTTTTAAAAATTCATTACAGAATTATGAACACCCTCTTTAACTCTGTTCATATTTGTAGTTCAAACTTCAAACTATTTTTTCTACGCACTCAAAATCTTCAAATTCAGTAATACTCATTAGCACAACTTGTTTCATGATGCAATCTGTTTGATGCTGCAATGATATTACATTAATGCCCATTAGCACATCTTAAATCAAAACAAAAGAACCTGATTTCAATAATATCACGTTAATGCTACAATGATATCACATTAATGCAATGATATCACTTTAATGCCTAATAAGAATTAAGAACATATATTTTTCTCTACTTCAAAAATTTTATAGAAACAATTTTAGAATAAGTAATATCAGAATTTCTAATCTGCAATGCAATAAGAATTTCTAAGCTGCAATGGTATCAAAATTTATACGCTGCAAATACAATAAGTATTTCTAAGTTTAAATGATATCTTAATTTCTAAGCATAATTTTCTTGACAGAATTTCTAAGTTGTGAATAAGTTCTAATCAGAATTTCAAACTAAATTTTTTAGTTTGTAGGTCTGGCCACAAAACTAACTAGATCAAAAAATACCTCTCCTGTAATACTTCAAATTGCTTCGACACATTAAAGAACTCACAGTGGGATGAATTAGCAGTAGGTATATCCAAAAAGGATTTGGTTTCAACAAGTCATAAACAAATTTAGAAAGAGTCAAACAGAATGTCTAAGCCGTGAATAAGTTCTAAACAAAATTTCATAGAATTACTAAGCTGTGAGTAAATTCCTAGCTTTGAAACACATCAAACATTTTAATTTGAGAAGCATTAAATCTTTAGTTTCCCAAAAGAATCAATAATATTTATTCTTAAATAATTGAAAAGATTAAAAAAAAAACTTTAAATCCTCCAAAATTGTAGGTCAAAGAGAAATTATAATGAAAAATATTTCATTTCAGAACAAGAAAATATTTCATTCAAATTTTTTACAGAAAATAATAAAAAACCTTGAAGTGATAAATCCTACCTATGTTTCACAGAAATGTTTCATGCATTTTTTTTATCATTAGAGCATAAAGGTTGCATTTTTCATCAGATAATTATGCAGTGCATACAAACTTAAGCCATGGTTCTAATTCTACACACTAACATTATCCATATTAACCTTAAAGCAGTGCATACAAACCTGAAAGCAAAAAACAAGTTGAAACATTTTGAGTATACAAATCTCAAGTGTATACAAACCTGAAAG